TTTGCAAGATGAAGGACTATAATCCTGTCTTCTTTTATTCCTCACATTTAACATTGATTGTGCAACTACTACCCACTCTGATAACCACCACCAGACACTACAAAGTTCTCCCCCGACACAGGAATTCCGAAGTGAATGAGTGAATGAATGAATGAATGGCATCATGGTTAAATATGATTCAGAATTAAGTCCCTAGTCATTTGTGACCAGTCTAAAAATGCTAAGGTAATTTTTTCTTTCTTTTTGTTTAAAGAGGCAGTAAAATGGCCAGTTATAAAATCTTCCTAGTAATATCTGGCAATTTCAATCTCTGTGGTTTAGTTACTGCTATATATGGTGCCCCCTTTGCTATTCAAACTAAAATAGTTTAATTTATGATTCTATTTCTTTGTTCATGAACACGAAATACCAAAAAAAATGAGGACCATGTGTAAAAAGGGCACTGCCAGGTCCCTGAAGGAGGATCCATGCTAGCAGTGAGAAGTAATTTACAGCTTTAGCGAACACTTTTGGAATTGAATATAGAATGTTCATTACTTCCTCTGATAGTAAGGATAACAACAGCAATTACTATTATAGTAGTCAACAGTTTTGAGGACTTACAAAATTCCAAGCACTATTTTAAGCATTAGACTGGTGTTAACTCACTTAATCTTCACATCAAACTTAATGAATTAATTTTTCATTCCCTTAAACAGTGAAGGAAAATCGAGAGTCAGGGCCATTGAGTAATTTGCCCAAGGTTGAGCAGCTTGTCAATGAAACCCGTAGGCTCATACACTCAAAAAGCCAAATGCCAGGGAACAAATAGAATCTATTAAAGCATCAGGGGACATCAGTTCCCCTGAGCCAACACCACCTGCTTTCAGTGTTTTCATTGGTGACATGAAGAGGTTTCTATTAGAATTAAATCCTTCAAGATTGAAAAATCAGGTGAACAAATCTAGATTAAGGGACCAGAGCTTAGAGTAAAGGTGTGATGGTCACATTCCTGCTGAGAACTTCTGATGGAAAAAATGCAAATTTCCTCTGGAGTTTCATTTTTCATGATTCTTATGTTTTAAGGAAGTGGGGTTCTGTTTTCTAAAGGCTTCTCTTTTCTTTTCTTTTTTTTTTCAAATAATAATAAATAAAATGTCTATTGTAACAGGTGGCTCTTTATACAAAAGGCACCAAAACAGAAGCAGCAGCAGCTGTGGAGGAGGGTGTTCCAAGCCACATATTAAAATGAAGTATCATTTGTTTTTATAAAGAGATGTTTATTTTGTGATAATGGAAACAATTAATAGCAACATATGCTGCAGGGTGCATACCCACCAGTAATTAATGTGGCATTAATTTAGCTGCTTTTAAGGAAATGTAATAAATTTGAAAAAGCAGCAGAGTTTCCGCACTCCTCTCAAACATTAACTGGCTCTGTTTCAACAACCGAGTCCCTGTCCTGTTTGGATGCCTCATACCACATGCAAGTTCTTCAGTCTGAGCCTGATCCTCATAACAATGATGAAGAAAGTGCTTTGTGCTCCTAATTGAATATTGCAGGCATTTGAAACAGAGATCCAGGAGTGAGCAGTAATTATTTAACTTAAGAACAGCTGTGAACTGACACCATTAATGTCCATCTACCTTCATTTACACTTGAAGCAATATGGCTGTTTTCAGCAAAATTTAAATTAAAGAAACCTGGATTTAAATATGAAAGTAAAGATCATCGCATGAAAAATGATACCTTAGCTGGCCACAAAAGGCACATCCCAGCCAGCGTAATTAGGCTTTGAGGGTATAACTCTGTAACTCAGAGGCGGTGGGTTGCAGGTAACAAAATCAGTGGCCAGCAGGGATTCAAGCCTTTCTGTCAGAACCAGGGACAAGGACTTGGTTTAATGTCTGTTTGGTTTTAACACCAAAAATCATGCTTCTTGCCTCTGTCCTTTCCCATTTTAGTTTATGAAATACACTTGATGCAAACTTTGCTTTCTCGCTCAAAACTGACCCAGGGGCAGTTGAATCCCAGATTGTATTCAGCTGGACAAACTTCAGGATTAAGAATCGGCATTTAAACCCCCAAGTCTGTTGAATCCTGTTGAACCCCGTATGTCTCTAAATTAGCAAAGCAGAAAACGTTTGGTGTAGAAAGCACTGGATTATAAGCCAGGGAATCAGGAGTCCTGTCCTATTATCTGAGCAAGTCAGTTCCCGGCTTAGACCCTTTGACAGCTATTAGGTCAGTGCAAAAGTAATTGTGGTTGTTGCCATTGATAGTAATGGCAAAACTACAATTATTTTTGCACCAACCCAATATGCCATAATACCATAGACTGGGTGATTTATAAACAACAGAAATTTATTTTTCACAGTTCTAGAATCTAGGAAATTCAAGATCAAGCTCCCTGAAGACTGAGTGTCTGGTAAGGACCATCTTCTCACTATAACCTCACAAGGCGGAAGGGGCCAGGGTTCACTCTGGGGCTTCTTTTTCAAGGTAGCATCCCATTCATAAGGGCTTCTCTCTTATGACCTATCTGCTCTCCAAAGACCCCATCTCCTAATATCATCCTATCCAGGGTAAGGATTTCAACATATGAATTTGGGGGATCACAAAGTTTCAGAGCCATTTCTGTAAAAGAAGTTGGATCCCAGGGTTATAAAACTCTACTTCTAAGATCTAAAAACTTCTGTCACTTGAGGTCCTAGCATTAAATGCTTTACCTTATCTTGTATACTCTTAGTTTTAGATTACGATTCAATGTGGATTAGTAAAATGAATGCTGAGCAAAGACAGGAAATCTCCATATTCTGGGTTGTTGATACTGAAAGTGTGTCCTGATCAACAGCAGTGACATCAGCGGGGTATATTAGAAATGGCGAACCCCACCACCACCACCAGCACTAGTCAGAACCTACCAGACAGACCCCAACACGAGTCCAAAAGGATTCATATCTGAGCAGCACTGCGCCCATTCTGGCCTTGCCCCTGGCTAACTAGCAATTTGACAGGTTCTATAGATGATGAAGATACCGTTCTTATTTTTAGAGATGAGCCCTCATCATCTTTGTTCCCAACGAGACATTTTTCTAATGAGGTAACATATATGAAAGCCCTGGAAAACTGCAAAGGGCTAGGCTGATGTAGAATATCGTTGAATGTCTTCCAAAGAAAATGAACTATAATATTTGGTGAACTTATTTCTGAGATTCAGATATGAGTTCAGCAGTTTTAATGTGATCCCATAACCCAAGAACGGACACCTTCATGTACTTCAAAGTCTGAAAAATCACTTGTAAGTAAGCTCACTCTCCCTCAATTCTTATACAAGTCTGGAGAGTTCTCCTGAGTTCCAGACTCATGCCTTAGACACCCGTGAGGTTCTCCCACAGCCACAAACACTCCACTCATCCTCAACAGAACATGTCCTTCTAAAGCCTTAAATCTGCTTCAGTCCCTGCTTCAGCGAACAGCCCAACTTCTACCCACTTGCTCAAGCCAAAAGTTTGGGGGTTCTCCTTCACCCTTTTTTTTCTGTCATCCCATATACCTCTAATTACATTTCCTTTTGAGTTAGCTCCAAATATTGTGGGATCTCTTCACTTATTTTTAAGCCTCCTTGTTCCCACCCTAGTCTGCAAATTACTATCTCTTCTGTGCAGTTGCCCTAGCCTACTCCACACTCATGAACTTCAGTCTTATCCCGCAAGACAGAGTGATCTTTCTCAAACATCGATCTGACCCTGTTATTGCTCTGCTTAAAATCCTTCCAGAGCTCCTCATTACCAGTGCAAGATCTAAACTCCTTCATATGGACTACAAGGACCTTCACACCCTGGCCTAGGCATTCCACCTCATTTTTTTTTTCACTCCCCAATTCTGCCTTGTGCTAGAGAAAGTCTGAATCACTTGCAGTTCTACCAAACTCACCAGGCTCCCTCTTGTCTCCAAGTCCTCTCATGGGCTCCTCCCCTCGCTGACATACCACCTGGACCCTCACTGCCTGACCTGCAGAGTGCAGCTAGAGCTTCCTCTCTTACTTTCTCTGACTCCTCCCTGCCCTCCCCTTACCCAAGCTATTTCTGACAAATTTCCTTTGTGATCACAGCATTTTGTGTCCATACTACCCCAAATCAGGAATGAGATGAGACAGAGAGAAAAGGTCAAGAGTACAGGCTATTGGGCTAGACTGTGACATATTGACTCTGTCCTCTACCAGCTGTGTGAAAAACTGCTTGGTACCTCAATTTTCCCATCTGTAAATTGAGATAAAGATAACAGTCCCGATATAATACGTGGGGGGACGATCCAAGATGGCCGTTTAGGAACAGCTCAGGATTGCAGCTCCCAGTGAAAGCGCAGAGGGTGAGTGGATGCCGCGTTTTTATTGCCCACAGACTAGGAAATTCCCGGGCAGAGGTGCTCCACGCTCGCCAGCGCGGCTGTTGTGGCCAGCGCCGCTGCTCTGCCCCGCGCGGCGGCTTTGTCAGCGCCCCGGAGCCGCGGTTCTCCGTACAAAATACACCGGTCCGGGGGCCCTTTTGGCTGGCGATTGGAGCCACGGGAAGTCGCCCATACGCTGGTTCAAAAAGGGGACTGAGCAGAGAACCAGGACAGTAGATTCCAGGGCAAAAAAAAGAAAAAAAAGCGCCACAAACCTCAGTGCCGCTGTTTAAGCCAGCGCAGTGAGTGGCCGCAGGGGAAAACAAACAGACCCCGGCGCCTCTTCAACAGGCGACTGGAACACCAACTTAAAAAAGGCTCTGAGGCAGGGAGCCAGGCGATCAGGCTCGGCTGGCCCCACCCCCACAAAAGAACAGCAATCAGAAACTCTGGATTGAGAGTTTCACAGCAAGTGCAGCTGAACCCAGGACGGTCCAGCTCTGTGGGGGAGGGGCGTCCGCCATTACCGAGGCAGCCCGCCGTTGCCAAGGCAACCCGCCACAGCAGAGACTCTGCCCCAACAGAGGCGGGCCACCATCGCCAAAGCAGTTCTAACTACACCCATATAAACAGGACTGCAGGGAAGTTCACTTGTCAGCGGGGCGGAGCCCACAGCAGCTCAGCAAAGCTGCTATAGGCCGACAGTGACTAGGCTGCCTCCTTGCTGGGCTGGGCAGGTCTGAAGGAGAAAAAAAAAAAAAAAAAAAAAAGAAGGCAGCAGCATAACGGAAACTCATAAATAAAGCCCTAAATCCCTGGGACAGAGCACCTGGGAACAAAAAGCAGTTTATGAGTTCTGCTGCAGCAGACCTAAAAGTACCTGCCCAGCAGCTCTGAATGAACAACAACAGAGCTCGCAGCTCACCATTTGAGCTCCTATAAAGAAGAGACCGTCTCCTCAAGCAGCTCCCTGACGCCTATATATCCAAAAAGACACCTCATAAAAGAGAGATCAGATTGACACTAGGCGGGTATCCTTCTGGGACAAAGATAGCAGAAGAAGAAAACTGGTAACAACCCTTGCTGTTCAGCAGCTGCTGCAGGTGAACCCCAGGCAAGCAGGGCCTGGAGTGAACCTCAGCAGACCTACAGCAGAGGGGCCAGACCGTCAGAAGGAAACCAAGAAACAGAAATAACCTCATCATCAACAAACAGAACGTCAATCTGAAAGATTTGAGACCCAATCTGAAAGCCAGCAACTACAAAGTCGACAGGTGGATAAATCCTTAAAGATGGGAAGAAACCAGCGAAAAAAGGATGAAAACACCCGAAACCAGAACACCTCTCCTCCTAAAAGGGATCACAACTCCTCACCAGCAAGGGAACAAGGTTGGATGGAGAACGAGTGAGATGAAATGTCAGAATCAGACTTCAGAAGGTGGGTAGTAAGAAACTTCTGTGAACTTAAAGAACATGTTCTAACCAAATGCAAAGAAACTAAGAACCTTGAAAAAAGATTTGACGAAATGCTAACAAGAATGGACAAAATAGAAAGGAACATAAGTGAATTGATGGAGCTGAAAAACGCAACACGAGAACTTCGTGAAGCATGCACAAGTATCAACAGCCGAATGGACCAAGAAGAAGAAAGGATATCAGAGGTCGAAGATCAACTTAATGAAATAAAACGGGAAGGCAAGACTGGAGAAAAAAGGGTAAAAAGGAATGAACAAAGTCTCCAAGAAATGTGGGACTATGTGAAAAGACCTAATCTACGTTTGATAGGCGTACCCGAATGCGACAAAGAGAATGAATCCGAGCTGGAAAATACTCTTCAGGATATTATCCAGGAAAACTTCCCCAACCTAGCAAGGCAGGCAAACATTCAAGTCCAGGAAATACAGAGAACACCACAAAGATATTCGTCAAGAAGAGCAACCCCAAGGCACATAATCGTCAGATTCACCAGGGTCGAAATGAAGGAGAAAATACTAAGGGCAGCCAGAGAGAAAGGTCGGGTTACCCATAAAGGGAAGCCCATCAGACTCACAGCAGATCTCTCAGCAGAAACCCTACAAGCCAGAAGAGAATGGGGGCCAATATTCAACATCCTTAAAGAAAAGAACTTTCAACCCAGAATCTCCTATCCAGCCAAACTAAGCTTCATAAGTGAAGGAAAAATAAAATCCTTTGGGAACATGCAAGTACTCAGAGATTTCGTCACCACCAGGCCAGCTCTACAAGAGCTCCTGAAAGAGGCTCTACACATATAAAGGAACAACAAGTACCAGCTCAACTAAAGGGCAAAACAGCCAGCTAGCACCAAAATGGCAGTATCAAATTCACACATAACAATATTAACCCTAAATGTAAATGGACTAAATGCCCCAATCAAAAGACACAGACTGGCAAATTGGATCAAAAGACAAAACCCATCGGTGTGCTGTATCCAGGAAACCCATCTCACATGCAAGGATACACAAAGGCTCAAAATAAAGGGATGGAGGAAGATTTACCAAGCAAATGGAGAGCAAAAAAAAGCAGGAGTTGCAATTCTCATCTCTGATAAATTAGACTTTAAAACAACAAAGATCATAAGAGACAAACAGGGACATTACATAATGGTAAAAGGATCAATGCAACAAGAAGAGCTAACGATCCTAAATATATATGCACCCAATACAGGAGCACCCAGATACATAAGGCAAGTTCTTAATGACTTACAAAGAGACATAGACTCCCACACAATTATAGTGGGAGACTTTAACACCCCATTGTCAACATTAGACAGATCAACCAGACAGAAAATTAACAAGGATATCCAGGACTTGAACTCAGACCTGGACCAAGCAAACCTAATAGACATTTACAGAACTCTCCACCCCAAATCCACAGAATATACATTCTTCTCAGCACCACATCACACCTACACTAAAATTGACCACATAATTGGGAGTAAATCACTCCTCAGCAAATGCAAAAGAACGGAAATCATAATAAACAGTCTCTCAGACCACAGTGCAATCAAGTTAGAACTCAGAATACAAAAACTAACTCAGAACCGCACAGCTTCATGGAAACTGAACAACTTGCTCTTGAATGTTGACTGGATAAACAATGAAATGAAGGCAGAAATAAAGATGTTCTTCGAAACCGAGAATGAAGAGACAACATACCAGAATCTCTGGGACACATTTAAAGCAGTCTCTAGAGGAAAATATATAGCAATAAGTGCCCACATGAGAAGCAAGGAGAGATCAAAAATTGACACCCTATCGTCAAAACTGAAAGAGCTAGAGGAGCAAGATCAAAAAAACTCAAAGTCTAGCAGAAGACAAGAAATAGCTAAGATCAGAGCAGAACTGAAGGAGATAGAGACACAAAAAACCCTTCAAAAAATCAATAAATCCAGGAGCTGGTTTTTTGAAAAGATCAACAAAATAGACCACTAGCCAGATTAATAAAAAAGAAAAGAGAGAATAACCAAATTGATGCAATAAAAAACGATAAAGGGGATATCACCAGATTCCACAGAAATTCAAACCATCATCAGAGATTATTACAAACAACTCTACGCACACAAACTAATAAACCTGGAAGAAATGGATAAATTCCTGGACACTTGCCTCCTGCCAAGCCTAAACCAGGAAGAAGCCGAAACCCTGAACAGACCCATAACAAAGTCTGAAGTTGAGGCAGCAATGAAGAGCTTACCACCCAAAAAAAGCCCAGGTCCAGATGGGTTCACAGCTGAATTCTACCAGACATACAAAAAGGAGCTGGTACCATTTCTTCTGAAACTATTCCAAACAATACAAAAAGAGGGAATTCTTCCCAAATCATTTTATGACACCAACATCATCCTGATTCCAAAACCCGGCAGAGACTCAAGAAGTAAAGAAAACTACAGGCCAATATCCATGATGAACATAGATGCAAAAATCTTCAATAAAATACTGACAAGCCGATTGCAACAGCACATCAAAAAGCTTATCCACCATGATCAAGTAGGCTTCATCCCGGGGATGCAAGGCTGGTTCAACATACGCAAGTCTATAAACGTAATTCACCACATAAACAGAACCAAAGACAAAAACCACATGATTATCTCAATTGATGCAGAGAAGGCCTTTGACAAAATTCAACAGCCCTTTATGCTAAAAACACTCAAAAAGCTAGGTATCAATGGAACGTATCTCAAAATAATAAAAGCTATTTATGACAAACCAACAGCCAATATCATACTGAATGGGCAAAAACTGGAAGCATTCCCTTTGAAATGTGGCACCAGACAAGGATGCCCTCTCTCACCACTGCTATTCAATATAGTATTAGAAGTTCTAGCCAGAGCAATCAGGCAAGAAAAAGAAATAAAGGGCATTCAAATAGGAAAGGAGGAAGTCAAATTGTCTCTATTTGCAGACGACATGATTGTATATCTAGAAGACCCCATTGTCTCAGCCCCAAACCTCCTGAAGCTGATAAGCAAGTTCAGCAAAGTCTCAGGATACAAAATCAATGTGCAAAAATCACATGCTTTCCTATACACCAATAACAGACTTAAAGAGAGCCAAATCAAGAACAAACTTCCATTCACAATTGCCACAAAGAGAATAAAATACCTAGGAATACAACTAACAAGGAATGTAAAGGACCTCTTCAAGGAGAACTACAAGCCACTGCTCAACGAAATAAGAGAGGACACAAACAGATGGAGAAACATTCCATGTTCATGGTTAGGAAGAATCAATATCGTGAAAATGGCCATACTGCCCAAAGTAATTTACAGATTCAATGCTATCCCCAGCAAGCTACCAATGACCTTCTTCACAGAACTGGAAAAAAACACCTTAAACTTCATATGGAACCAAAAGAGAGCCCGCATAGCCAAGTCAATTCTAAGCAAAAAGAACAAAGCGGGGGGCATCAACTACCAGACTTCAAACTATACTACAAGGCTACAGTAATCAAAACAGCATGGTACTGGTACCAAAACAGAGATATAGACCAATAGAACAGAACAGAGGTCTCAGAGGCAACACAACATATCTACAACCATCTGATCTTTGACAAACCAGACAAAAACAAGCAATGGGGAAAGGATTCCCTGTTCAATAAATGGTGTTGGGAAAGCTGGCTAGCCATGTGCAGAAAGCAGAAACTGGACCCCTTCCTGACACCTTACACTAAAATTAACTCCAGATGGATTAAAGACTTAAACATAAGACCTAACACCATAAAAACCCTAGAAGAAAATCTAGGCAAAACCATTCAGGACGTAGGTGTAGGCAAGGACTTCATGACCAAAACACCAAAAGCATTGACAACAAAAGCCAAAATAGACAAATGGGACCTAATCAAACTCCACAGCTTCTGCACAGCAAAAGAAACAATGATTAGAGTGAATCGGCAACCAACAGAATGGGAAAAAAATTTTGCAGTTTACCCATCTGACAAAGGGCTGATATCCAAAATTTACAAAGAACTAAAGCAGATTTACAAGAAAAAAACTAACAAGCCCATTCAAAATTGGGCAAAGGATATGAACAGACACTTCACAAAAGAAGACATACGTGAGGCCAACAAACATATGAAAAAATGCTCATCATCACTGGTCATTAGAGAAATGCAAATC